ACACTGTGTACTGAGAAATTCATTTTAAATTTCATGGACGGATGGAATGAATTTTCTCCTGTCTAAACTGACAAACTGTCATGTTGATCAGTATTGCTTCTGACCTGAAAGAGAGGTTCACTCTCGAAAGCTTGTCTTTTATGTATTTTGTTAGTCCAATACAAAAGGTATCATTGCACACTGCAATACTGCATTTTTGTCTTTTTTGACATCTTGTCTACTGGACTAATATGGCTTACCCATTTATATTGCACTACGATGGAAGATACCGAATCCAGCCGTTTAAAGAAGCAAGTATTGAAGTTGATCAGAAAGGTCTATGGTGGGCTGAGCAGGCTCTCAGGTGGGCTGTGCGGGGCCTATAGTTGGCTGTGCAGTCTTCCCAAGGGTCCCGGTCGGTTTTGGTGGATGCAGGTGGTGTGGATTCACAGGAAGGAGGAGATTTGCTGCTCGCACTGTAAACAAACACCACAATTCACAGGAAGGATGCCGGGACCTTGCTGGGGTCCTCACAAGCTTTCCTGTAAAGCCCGGCACCAGTTTAAATAGCTGCCTTCAGTTTAAAAATGTAATGCGCCGGTATCAGTGTTTAGTATTGGGGCATTTTCATTAGTATGAGTACTGGTGAAAATTCCCCATTTTTGGCACCATTACCGGTATCTGTGCATCCCTAGACAGTATATCCAAAGTGTTCTGCCATCCTCTCTGCTGCCGACTGCTGAGACAAGGTGGGGTCAGAGATGAAGGGGGTGCCACAGCTGCAGGCGAGCTGCAAGGGCAACATGATTCGGCCCACAGGCCTTGTTTGTGACATGTGCCCTAGATGAAAATGAGCAGCTAGCCTTTACAGTTTCCCGGAGTTTTTCTTTAACCATTTCACACCTGCTGTTTCCACTCTTTCTGATACTCAGGAGAATGCAGGCTACAATACCCAAAGGTTGGCAGGAACATATAAAAGCCCCATGTGCACAGAAACAGAGTTGGAATAATGCCAGGGAAATCTGGCTGGTGAGAGAGTTTAACCCTTTCGCTGCCAAGGACGTATGGCATACGGACCTACAAAAGTGCTTCCAGCTGGCCAGGTCAGTATGCCATACGGACCTGGCATTTACAGTTCTACTATAAGCTGATGATCGCTTTAGCGACCATCAGCTTATAGTATAACTGTTCAGCAGACTGTCCCCTTTAAATTAATAGCTGTCATCAGCGGCTCAGAAGCCGCTGATGACCGCTGGAGCCCTCCCTGGAGCCATCCCAGGGAGGGATGAGGGACTCCATGGATCCCCACTGCTTGTAGGGTCTGTGGCAGCGGGGATCCGTACAAAAATCACCGGCGGGGGGGTCGGGGGGGTCCCGGGAACGAGCGGCGGCTGGCCGCATTTCAGGATGGCTGAGCGTCTTCTGTTCTGAGCCGCTGTCATCCTGTCAGTTTTTGGATGACAGCGGCACGGGCTAAAATACATTTACTAAAAACGTAATGTTTATTTTATTTTTAAATACAAGACAACCCTTAAGGGTGGACAAAAAAGTGACAGAGGATTTGACTTACTTCTAATGGATGGGATCAGTGTAAATATGTTTCCTAAAATGTACTTACTCTTTCCTACGAGCAGATTTTCTTTTTTCCTCATTGAGTTCATGTGTAGCTTCACGAAGCTTTACTTCACAGCCTGGGGTGCTGCCAGGAGTTATGTCCAACTGCAAACTCTTACTCTGCATGCAAAAATGAATGTCTTAAAACTACATACATAGTGTTGTAAATAACTGCATGTTCTATGAAACAGCTTATATCTTATAAAGTCAGTCCCTAATAATTCTATAACCATCCCTAAGAATACAGCACTCTTTAATTGTGTGGTCCCTCAATTCACACTATACATCATTGGGGTGAAGATCAAAATGTTTTTCCATGGTCGTTGTATATGGGAAGGCATTGTCTGAATCATTGAAATATTTTACATATTTAGCACCCATGAGTGGAATTAGATAAAGCTTATTATGTCATGCCCAAAGAAAAAGGGCCATTATATTAACCCCTTCGTGACGGGAGACGTACAGTGTACGTCTTGTCACTTTGTGCCTATATGACTGGCCACGTACACTGTACGTGACGAGTTATATCAGGCTTTGTAATGCCGGTATTTGCTGATTCTCAGCATTTAACAGTCATTCATTAATGTCTCAGTATTGAGGCATTAATTAATGAAATAATTAAGCTTTTTGTAAAAGCTTCTTCCTTTCATTAATGAAAGAATGAAGCCGTTACATGCAAATAGAGGACCGCAATTTGCGATCCCGTATTTGACAGCTCAAAATAGCAGAGAGGCAGCAGTGACTCACCTC